GTGTGTGTGTGTGTGTGTGTGTGTGTGTGTGTGTGTGTAAGTAATTAAATCCTGAAATTCATTTGTCAGAGATATATGAATATTAACATTTAAATATAAATGTATGTTGACACTCCATCTTCGACTTTCTTATGTAATGCTAATTTTTCTCTCTCTGATTATAGACTTTCTCCACGATTATTCAGATCATCTGAAGACTCTGACATTCACTTATTTACCACATCAACAACACTTCACACTGATGAAATGATACACTATAGATGAATCACTTTAACCGTCACATTCACCACAAGCTGAAGAAGATCTCACGGCTTCCGTCTTATATAAGGTGCTCTGGACATAAACACCAGCTGTTATTTTTCAGCATGTGGAACATAACATTCAGCAATTACGCTGTGGTGGAGATGTAGGTGGGTATGAGATCTTTAGCGTGAACGCGTTCTCCATCTCCTTTAGTGTGGATGAGAGCTGCTGCTGCTGTAATGTGAAGGTGACTGACTGTACACTTGATTCATCACTGATGGAGAGATACTGTTATTCCAAGGCTGGATAATAAAACACAGAATGCAGAACCTGGAAATCTTTTCTACTAATTTCTACACACACATTAGGGCTTTTACACACATATACATTTAAAATGTACAGTCTTTCTTAATGTTCCAGATTAGTCTCAATTGCACTTTTTAACACTCTGAATGCAAATATTCCAGATGAACCACATACTGAAGCTTCAAGTCAACATGCAATCAAAAATTCACCCTAATAACACCTACATTCAATTTGTTTTTTCAGTTCTGCTGATAATACTATCTGCAATATATTTTATATACATTATTTTACAGGATATATATATATATATATATATATATATATATATATATATTACATTAATATGTTTCTATGTTGCCGGCGCATCGGTTGTCATGGAGATGATGGGACTTATTTAAGCTGAAACCTCAGCTTTGGTTGGAAGGAAAGGGAAAAAAACACGACAGAAAAAGAGAGGTCTGTGTGTGTTTTCATCTCATTAGATTTAGATGTTTTTTAACCCACAGTCAAAAAAAAAAGGCTACAAAACGGATCCGTGCCACGCAAGTCTTATAGTGTTTCATTAGAGAAAGTGAAACAAGCTTTCAGTCTAATTAAATGACTTGCAGAGAGCAGCATATCCTTTCATAACCCGTGATTTCTCTCCTGAGCTCTCTGCAAAACCACACGACGAGCTCTTTCTGCACTATGTTGTGAGCGTTTATTGTGTTTTGTTGAGGGTTTCAGGCAGGTTTCTATTTGCACCGTTCATCTGAGCACGCACTTTAATTGTCTCACAATGAAATAAGCAATAGCCGGTTAGAAAAACTCAATAACCTCAGGTGGATGCGAGCAAGGGTCTGTTAAAAGCTAAATAAAACCGTGTCAACAACACAGCGGTTTCACTTATGTAAAGTGATTTGATTTTATGTTGTCTTCAAAGCAATAGTTCACCCAAAAATGAAACGTGTCTGAAAATGTTTTCACCGTCAGGTCATCCAGGATGAAGATGAGTTTGTTTCTTCATCAGGTTTGGAGAAATGTAGCATTGCATCAGTGTCTCAGCAATGGATGCTCTGCAGTGAATGGGTGCCGTCAGAATGAGAGTCCAAACAGCTGATAAAAACATCACAATAATCCACAAGTAATCCACAGCACTCCAGTCCATCAGTTAACATCCGGAGAAGACAAAAGCTGAAACAAATCCATCAAGTCGTTTTTAACTTTAAACTGTTTCTTCTTGCTAATGTACGAGTCCATAATCCATAATAACGCTTCCTCCAGTGAAAAAGTCCATCTCCTGTTGTCTCTCACATCAAAATCACATTTGTTATTTGTTTAGAGCTGTTTTGGACTGTTTTGGCTTGTAAACACTGCTTGATCTGTGCAGATTTCTCTCCTGATTCAGAGCAGACCACTTTTTCACTGGAGGAAGCAGAGGTTTGAAGTTAAAAACGTCTTTGTCACGATCTCTAGCTGGAGTGCCCATCCTGTACCCTATACCATTCACCCCGGACTCCATTTCCCATAATCCTTTGCTCGGACTCATTATCAATTGCAAGCACCTGTCTCTCATCACCTCATCAGTCTCACACTATAAGAATGGCACACACACACTCTCACATCGCTGGTGATTGAAAGTTTTAATATTTTCCTAGTTTCCTGTGTGTTCCTTGTTTTCCAAGTTTTGCCTTGCCTTGGTGTTTTTGACCCTGGACTGTTTCCTCGATTCTGATTGTCTGCTGCCTGCCCTTACCATTGCCTGTTATCTGGATTACTCTTTTGCCTCTGCCTTGGTTATTACTGTTTGCTGTTACTGGACCCTGCCTGCATGATTACGCCTTGTTTATTAAAGCCTGCATTTGGATCCCCAACTCCATTGTCGCCTCCCTCGTTACAGTCTTAATGCTGGATTTGTTTCAGCTTTTGTCTTCTCCAGATGTTAACTGATGGACTGGAGTGGTGTGGATTATTGTGATGTTTTTATCAGCTGTTTGGACTCTTATTCTGACGGCACCCATTCATTGCAGAGCATCCATTGCTGAGACATTGATGCAATGCTACATTTCTCCAAACCTGATGAAGAAACAAACTCATCTTGCTGAGCAAAAGTGTGGCTGTACAATCTTCTGTAATGCTCACCATTAAAAAATTAAATTACTAAAGAAAACATGAATGCTGCCTTCACACAGTTTGACTATTTGTGTAGATTTACTTGAATAAATATCCATCACTGAGTTAACTAAAAACAAACAGATAGTGGGTTAAATTTAGTTTAGTGGTTGCAATGAGGATGGGTTAATGACGGAGGTCGACATACAAGCCCGTTTTCTGATTTATTAATGAAATAGTTCAACCAAAAATGAGAATTAATTTATTCACCCTCAAAAGACGTCTTGCACCAAATTTGGTGCCAGTGAAACCAAAGGCCGAAGAGAACCGATTGTGATGGCCACTGGTCACAATATGCTTACAGTGAATGCAAAAGAGCATCGTAAACATTGTTCTCCATTTCTCTGTTCCACTGAAGAAAGAAAGTCACAAGCACACGTCATCTCATATAGATGTCGGGTTTTCAGCTGCTTCTGAGAGATATAAAATGAACTTAATTTTCATACTCCCAAATGTGATGAAATTGGAAAAGACTTCAATATTAAACAAAGTGGGATTATTGCATTGCACACTAAAGGGTATGAAATAAGAATCAAATGAAGTTATCCTTTTTCAGCAATTTATGAGTAGTATTGGAGTGTAACATAATCCTTCTGCTAGAGTGTCTTTGCATAATGATGATCAGCGGGACAAAAGCAACTCACAGACATCTATCGTTCTCGGTAAGACAATCCCATCTGTGATGCTAGACAGACAGACAGAGACAGACAGACAGACAGACAGACGGATGGACGCCCAACAGACAGACAGATACAGACAGACAGATAGATACAGACAGACAGACACAGACAAACAGATACAGACAGACAGATACAAACAAACAAACAAACAGATAGACAGATACAGACAGACAGATACAGACAGACACAGATACAGACAGACAGACAAATACAAACAAACAGATAGACAGACAGATACAAACAAACAGATACAGATAGACAGATACATGCAGACGGACAGATACAGACAGACAGACACAAACAAACAGATACAGATAGACAGATACAGACAGACAGACAGATACAAACAAACAGATACAGATAGACAAATACAGACAGACAGACAGACAGACAGATACATGCAGACAGACAGATACAGACAGACAGACAGACAGATACAAACAAACAGATACAGATAGACAGATACAGACAGACAGACAGATACATGCAGACAGACAGATACAAACAAACAGATACAGATAGACAGATACAGACAGACAGATACAGACAGACAGACAGACAGATACAAACAAACAGATACAGACAGACAGACAGACACATGCAGACAGACAGATACAGACAGACAGACAGACAGATACAAACAAACAGATACAGACAGACAGACAGACACATGCAGACAGACAGATACAGACAGACAGACAGACAACAACACAAATACAGACAGACAGACAACCGACACACACACAGACAGATACAGATAGACAGACAGACAACCGACACACACAGACAGAAACAGACAGACAGACAGACTCCAGGATCTTGTTACGGTGATGATGGCCTTTGTTGTGAACATCAGCGGTTGGTCAATGAACAAGTGTGCTTCATATTTGTCCATGTGCCAGATCTGATTACTAATAAAAAATTGTCCACTAACAACATTCCAGTGGCAAAATGTGCCATGAATCTGTTTAATGTAATGTTTTATTGATGTTTTTTCTTCTATTTTTTCTTTTAGTTTTGAAATTTTATTTAAAGTTGTAAACCAAAAACACCCAGTTGTGTTATTCCTTGGCTGTATTTATTCTCTAAATATACCGGAATAAAAATAACTATTTAAACTCAGTATATATACATATAGATAGATTTCAGAGTGTACCGTATATTTTAACTGGTTCACTAACAACATGTCAGAGGCTAAATGTGTCATGAATCTGTTTTATTTACCGTTTTATTGATCAATTTATTTTTAAGTTGTAGATCAAAAACACCCAGTTGTGTTCTTGCTAGCTGAATTTACTCTCTTAATATAACAGAATAAAAAATAACAAGTAATGCAAGTTATGCAACTATAAATAAAAAGTAAATAAATTAATATTTTATATGAAATACTATAATACCAAAAAATAGAAAAAAATTGTTAGTTATTTGAGTCTGCCCCCCCATTTTCTTTAATAGTAATGCAATATAAAATAGAAACATGGTGCCCATCAATGTCCAGACAACAACACTGATCATAACAAAAGCAGTTTTGATGCATCGTCTGTCAAACTGTCAAATGACATACTACTATACTACTTCTTTTACCAGTATGTTCACTATGAAGACGACACTAGCTGTATTAAACATGCAGCATAATGAGATCATTTGACACCAACTTTTGAAATGTTTATCATTACTAGTGCATACTGTAATGCAATAATATACAGCACATGGTAGATGTACAGTATTCCATTCCAAAGCATTCCTACTGTACAGTAATGTTGCTGCTAGAATGTGGCTTTGCTGTATGTTCAGTATGTAGGTGTGACGTCCAGGATACCCAAAAAACCACTGAAGAACACGTCGACACACAGATAATGTGAACACATAAAGATTAAACGCCTGTAGCTTGGCTTGAAAACAGCTCACATCTACTTTACACATCATGCGCTCCATCATCTCCAGCATCACTGAGAGAGACAGCATTCAGCAAGCCTTACATAAACCTGACGTGACAAGATGGTTCCTCTCTCTCTCTCCACTGTGACAGTTAACTCTGTACAAGGAAAAATGTCAAAAATATTTAGCCACACTTAACTGGAGTTCATTACGGAGCCCCGCGGCAGCAGCGACCGGCTGCTAATGGCATTGACTCCCAGATACAAATCTATTTATAAAAATGTTTTTAGCCAGCGATCTAATTTACTTAATATCAAATAATTATGCAGCCACAATTAGATTAACAATGTTTACGTTCCTAAAAATACAGACATGACGTGTGTCCATGTTAAAGCTTGATTTGATCCTAGAAATCCGTTTCCTAAAATGCCACACTGAAAATATATGTCGCAGTTATGTTCAGTTGGACTCGATTTTCTGCTTGCACTTTTGAGTTTGTTGCCATAGTGACCTAGTTAAGTTAATCATTCTCTCTTGTATTTAGCTCTAGCTGTTTCAGTTTGCTTTGTCTGGCCTCGTCTATACTACGAATTCTGTGCTTCTGATTGATATTAAAGACTTTTGATCCTTGCTCTTCGTCTTCGAGCGAGTATCTGACCACAAGTCGTGACAATATGCATGTGAACAATCGTGACATACAGTATATGTAAACTATTCACATAGAAACCATATGGAGGATTGCATGCCATAAACATTTATGATCTAATTATGTTTTAGACTGCTTATATTGCAGTTGTTTCTTCAAGACGACATTGAGAGCAAATGGAATTTTAACCCTCTGATGCTCTTCAGTGATTTTTGACTGAATTTTTACTTCATTGGAATGGTACGAGTCTTGGTAAAGATTTTGGCATTTGCAATGTGAACACACACACACAAAATCACTGACATGATTTCAAGTACTAATAAAAACTATACATAGAGATATTTAAAATATATATTTACAAAAATTAAAACTTAAAGAATAACAATTCAAAAACGTCAATTTCTCTCTCT